AGCTATAGCAGGTTCTTCTGAATGTATTTCCCCCCATACAACTCGCCACAGCTTCCCCCAGCCCCAGAGCCTGCAATGCTGCTGTCAGAGCAGCCTGCACACAAGGATAAAGGTTTTACATGTCCAGGAAAGGAAATCCCTCCAATAGTTGTGGTTGCTGAGTTATGGTGGGGTTTGAGTCTTTGAAGGACCCAAGTGATGGAGTTCACTTGGAGCAACCTCCTGATGAGTTCATTTTCCTGCGTGTTAACAAGCCTTTGGCCTGAATGGAGCTGAAGGAGAACACCACAGAACAATTTATCCATCTTAAAAGGCAAAACGCAAGCCCATGGATCCATCGGGAATGCCACAGGAGCATAGCAGAGCAACCCCACAAGAGCAGGCTTTGGGTTCAAGCAGCCCTTTCCTAAGCAAACCTTTCCTTCAGGATCCGGAGCTGGGGGGTCAGTTTTAACTAATGAAGCTGTGAACAGCCCTGACAGCAAGGAAAGAGGCAGAGCACTAATGTCATCACTTGTGTGACCCCTCCCGTGTCTGCCATCTGGGATCACTTTGTCAACGCTTTCACTCAGCACAGGAAATTCTCCCTGTCTTTAGACCACATCTCAAAGGGGAAAGCAGCCCTCACAAGCCAATGACTGAACCTCCGCTCACTTCAGTGACACATTCAAGCTTTCAGGCAGTTGGTTACTGATTCAATATCACTCAGCACGGCTTTCAGCCACAAGATGGAGATTAGGCACAGGTTTTGCTCAGAAGAGCATGAAGAGCACACCTAATCCCAAAGAGACCTTCACAGGCATCTGAACCAGGACACCCTGACTCAGTGCACACCAGCGCAGCTGTAGAGCAGCCCCTTTGCGCCCTTTAGATGGCAGAAACTTTCTCAAAGCCGCAGAAACACGTGGATAAGGGGAAAAAAGATGCAAGTCTGAAGGTCAAGAGATGAATCCAGGTGAGGAAGAGGTCGGGAATAGAGCTGGGCATGCACAGACTTGAAGGCTGCACTGTTACAGCCAGCAGTGCCAAATAAAGGTAAGGCGATCTGAAATGATCTGAAGAGATTTGTGGCGATTTCTAGAGCATCTGGCAGGGAATTTGTTAACACTTTTCTGCAGATGAGGTGTTGCACACAGGCTGCTCCATCAGCAGGACTCAGCCCTGGACCCATCTGTTGTCACAGGGCCAGCAGGCACCCACTCAGCAGGGCCAGAGGTACCAGCAGGACACACGTGCTCTCACATTGAAGCCTTCAGATCATCATCCACAGTCAAAACCTTGTGCACTGCTCTTCTACAATATCCCCAAGGTATTTGCTTGCAAGTTCCCTGCATTCCTCACACATTCCTGCAAGGAAGCTTCCAATAAGATTTCCAAAGGAAAGCAGCTCCAAAGAAACCTGCACACCAGTTCCTTCAGAAACACAAGGGCTCATCACTGAATTAAATCTTACAGCACTCCTTCCTGAGCCCTGAGCAAGAAAGTATTCCTGGAATTCCTCTGTAGCTGTCCCTGGAGAACAGCTCGGCCCTCTGCAGTGCTCTGCTCAGCCCTACAACACCCTCTGCTTGCTTCTGCCCTTCCATCCACTGCAGAGAAAATGGAAGTGAGAATCAGAACACGATCATCCCAGCATCTTCCCTTTTATTCCCAAAATAAGAGGGTAAAAACCAAAAACGGAAGCAAGGAGTTGCTGTAGCAAGTACCCCACAGGGCTGCCCTTCCCTTGAACTGGTAGGAAAGGGATGTTTCAGATTGAGTGCTTCCTAAAGCTGCTTGATGCCAAAAGAGACAGAGGTACCCTCAAACAAAATGGAGATCACTAATTCTATAAGCACCCAGAGGTTTGTGTTGCCAGCCATGACACACCCTGGGCTGGAGTTTCCTTTGCAAAAGGTTAAGCCCTCTCCAAGATGCTGGGCTTCCAGAGCGAGGTTCCTTCTGTTCCATCAGCCACATCCAGTCCATCACCTGCAGGACTCAACCCCATACAAAAGGCATTTAACTCCCCAAACCACTCACTGGACTTGGGATAATCCATGTTCAGAGGAGCCAAATCAGGGCATTTGGATCCAATTAGCGCTCCTAATCCGTCCTGAAAGTCATCCAGGGCTGAAGCTGTTCCAGCCACACATATGGCTTAGAGCAGGAAAGGCACAAGTCCCTCGAAGCATCCTCTCCAGTGTGTATTTCACAACAGTGCTGCTCCTCACTCTAAAAGGAAAATCACTCCTATGTATACCATGAAGTTTTCTTTCTCAGCAGAACCGATCATGCCTCCCCTATAGCAACTCTGCCTCCTCTCTCCAGCCACACATTGTCAAACCCCTTTGTGACTCTACAGTAAGCGTCTATGGGCAAGGCAGAACAACGTTAACTCCTGAGGCTGCAGGAAGCCAGCAAGCTCACACAGACACCTCCCTGTTCCACAGCAAACGGGCCTTTGCCACATCCGAGCTAGAGGAATGTCAAACCCCACCACAGGACACAGGCTGCAGTGTTTGGAGCCCAACAGGGCTCTCCCCATCCCACACCAGCACCAACCCAGCCAGGCTGTAAACACACCTGGGTCCCTGCACACCTGGAATCACCACATCTTGTGTTATGGGGAGGGAAAGGGTTCTTTGCCCTGTTTTAGCAGCTCCTCCTCTTCTTACATTCATGCCCTGAGGTCAGCAAACGATGCCAACCCAGACCCAAAAGCCCACTGCTATTCACCAGACACAGGCTGCACCCCTGTTGTGGTGCTGCTTATTTGCCCTAGCTCAAGCTTACCTGGGATGCTCAGGACATCACACACTACAGAAGCTCCAATAGTGCATCCAGGCAATGTGGCACCCAGCCCCAACTGCTGCATGACACTGAAGAGTTTAACAGGACCCTCTGACATAGCAAGGGGCAAGACATAACATGGTCTAGTGAGCAAGTGTTAGGTGACAGAACACCACAAAGGAAAGAAGTCAGGTATCTCCTACTACTTCTCCAATAGAACTCCAAGTTTGTGGAGCTCAGCCTCACCTACTTGGGTCTCATGCTGGATCTGAATTTCAGATGGATCAGAAGATTTAGGTCAAACCTTCTACTTCCATCCAGTCTGTGGGAAGATGCAGGAGGACCAGAGGCTGGCTCTTAAATCCAGGTAACCAGCATCAGCCCCAGGTGATGTCTAACAAATGAATGGGAATGGCTCTGGATGGGCAGAGGAACACCCAATACCCCAACTACCTCATGCTACCCCATGGTCACCCCAGGATAACTTAGAGCAGCCCCCAGGCTGCCTCAAGGACAGGGGAAAGTAGCAAGAGCACCTCGATTTCCTCATCATGCTTCAATCCCTTTTAACGTGACTCCTGGATGTGTTTTTCCACTACACAGAGTGCAAAGGGAACAGACCCTCCTTTCAGCCAAACCAGCCAGGGCTGTGCTGAACTCACCCGAGCCTTTACAGTTACTGACTCCAGCTCTGTCCAAGCCAGACCACAGAGGCACAGGAGGAAGCAAGAGCCCATCCAACAGGTCACCGGTCCAACATCTGCTTTCCATGTTCCCCTGGGCAGGGCTCCAAGTGCATAACATACACATCTGTCTGTCTGTCTCCATACAGCACATGCCTTTGTCCCCTCCGACGCTCCTGACCAGTGACCCCAGCAAAACCCGGCAGAGCACGGTGAAAAGCAGCTCCCCAAGGAACACACCTCATCCCTGGGGACAAAGCAAGGCTGCACAATAAAAGCTACAAGCGGAGGAGCTGTGATCCCCACCCAGAAGCAGGGCTGTAAAGCAGCAAAACCTCTCCAAGTACAAACTAGCAGCGCCATAAAGAGCATCCCTTCACTGCAGCAGCGTTTCTGCCATCCGCAGCCTGAGCACAGCAATCAGTGCTTTTATAACCCCTCCACATGGGTGGCAACAGACACCTGCAGCAGGACACATGGACAGGGTGGAGGAACCAGTGGAAATAGGTGCTCCACGCTACAAGGGTGCTGAGGCGCTGGCACAGGGTGCCCAGAGAAGCTGTGGCTGCCCCATCCCTGGCAGTGTTCAAGGCCAGGTTGGACACAGGGGCTTGGAGAACCGTGCTCTAATGGAAGGTGTCCCTGCCCGTGGCAGAGGGTTGGAACTGGGTGAGCTTTAAGGTCAGCCCTAAACCATCCTATGACACAATTCCATGATCACTTAACATGTTCACTTGCTTCGTGCAGGTGTGCACATCACACACACACAGAGGCAGGCTCTCATGCCTCTGCAGAGGCTGGTTGAAGCACACAAAGTCATGTTTAATGTTCACCATGTTCCTGCTACATGCACCGCACCAAGCTATCTGCTGCAAACACACGTTCCCTGGCCCCCACCACCAGCTCGACATTGCACAGGCAGTGAAGCCTTAAACAGCCAGCCTGAAATGAGCCACTAATGGCTGTAATTAGCCACTGGGCAAACTTCACTGCTGGGATCAGTGGGGAGGGAGGGAACTTACACCCAGAGAAGCAGCCTTACTCACTTAAGTGAGTGTCGCTGCTTTGTGCTGAGCTGCCCATAACAAAATCCTCCTGTTTCCAAGTATTTCAGGGAACGCATCACATTTCCCAAGGAGGCAACTCCTGACTTCACTGCAGAGATTCAGGGTGAACTGAAAGGTTCCCCCAATCCCTAAGGGCATGCACAGGGAGCGCTGACCCCAGCACACTAACAAGCCAAGAGCAGAACTAACCAGTTAGTTAAAGCAAGTTAGTCAAACATGACACGGAACAGCCACATTTAGCACAACACAGCCCCATGCTCTAAGCACAATCTCAGTCCCTCTCACCTTGGCCAGCTGCAGACATGGAGTTCACTGGTATTTCTCCAGTTTAAATTTCAACCCAGTTGAGATTCAAGCTTATAAATAAGAAACAAAGATACAGAAGGAAACCAGCGATAGGCAAATTATCACACTGGAGGTACACAAAGCTGGCATCCTCTGTGACACAGGGCACTCCCCAGCCCTGGGCAGCCCTTACCTGCACATGGGTTTCTGAAGGTGTTGATAGAAGGTGTTTCCATCCGTGTCAGGCTGTTGAACACATCCTGCTCTGAAGGCTCCAGGATGTCCTTTAAAAAAGCATCCATTTTTCTTACACAGGGATACAAAACTTACACCCACAAATATAACACCACTCGATGCTAAGTGGCCAAAACACTTTTCCTCCTGTTTTTCTCCTCAGGGACACCCAGGCCAGGAGCAACTTGGAGGAAGCTGCCACCAAACACTGGGTTACTATAGAGACACTATGCAGCCACTGCTGCCTCACACACCACCCAGCTTCAGAGAAGCCTTGGGGTCAATGGGAGCCTGACTGAAAGGATTTCAATCTGGCTTCAAGCGTTAGACACTTCACCCAGAGCTCGCTGCTTTAGGTAGCATTGGGCAGGATACAAAGCCATGCATTTTAAAGCAAACACCACAATTAATGAGACACATTTAAACCCCATCCTCCCAGTGCCGCACATACGCGGGCCAGCTGAGCTCTAGGTACCTGCCATGCACACTATTCCACAGCCTTCTCCCTTACCCAGTGCATTTGGGGTTGGTTAACTAAATAAACAAGGGTGTAAAGGAAGGAGCTCCTTTACAGAAGCCCAGCCTCACCCACTGCAAAAAGTGGGAGCTGTGCAGTGGATACAGGCAGGGTTTGCCCACAGCCCTTGTTTTCCCCTTTCAATATCTACTTTCTCCCTGTACTGCTGATTCCCTCAGCTCATCATTCCCCTTTTCAGGTCTCCTCCCCAATTTCCTGCCTCTACTTTCTCTTTCCATCCCCATTTCTACACTTCTCAACCCAACCTCTCCTGCCCTGCTGCCACTTTCCCAGCCCCAGTACCTGGATAGAGGAGCCAGAGGGCAGTTTCTGCTTGAGGCAGGATGGCTACAGAACCCCAGGACACACTCAGGAGCAGAGCTGGCCATTGCTAGGTACTTATGACAACATAAAGCACCTCAAGCAGCCACTAAAATGGGAGGTGAAAACTCATCCTCATTGCTGAAGGTGCTTTTAACCCCTAAAGCCTCCTCCTCAATCAGTGCCACCAGCTGAGCATCACACGGCACACCCTGGGAAGGGGTTTTTGAATGTCAGGGGTATTTCTCCTTCTTTGATGAGTTCCAGCTGAATCAGCCAGCTGGTTTCAAAGCTACCAGTGGAGACCCAGGAACTGTGTGCACTTACACAGAGCTCATTTCCTTAGGAAACAAGCCTCCAGTCATCCCTGTTGTCCTGTACAGGCTCATCTGTCTCTCCTAATGTTTCTTTGACCCCTCACCACCTACCCACAGGGGTGTATGTTTTTCTGTGCAGCTGATGCAAGTCCTGTTGTTGTGACAGTGGTGGTACCATATCCCCATCCTCCTCCCACACCAACACCACAGCAACTAGAAAGATACCTCCTGGTCACTGTGGTGCTGCTCCATCCATTCCTGTCCCTATGCAGTTCAATTGCTGTCACCCTTCCCATAGCCTCAACAAAATACCCACATCCAACCCTCTGAAAGAAACACCAGCTCATTGCCCAAAACAACACATAGCCCCATGCCAGCTCCACTGGTGATCTGCTCCATGCAGTACTTAGTGCCTCATGGATAATGGAGATGAGCCTTTCCAGTGGTTATCACACCCATCTGGGTGTCCAAAGAGCTGGAATTAATCCCTTGCTCCGTGCAGCAAACACACTATTTTGCTGACAGATTGGGAAGTTTAATTAATAGCAGGAACGTGTACTTAAGCCGCTCCAACCAAACAGAATCACTTCATCAGATATGGTACATCCAGAAGATTTGAAGCAAAACCAGAATCCCTAAAGAACCCCAAATGTTCTCATGTTGTGAGCCTGTGCCCAGGGACTGATGCTGCTCCACGTGGTGCTGACCCAGCTCATTCCTTTGGCTCGCAGAAACGTGGGATTCCCATTAAACCCAGTGTTAACCAGAACCTACTCATTAGACACCAGAATAAAAGGCAAATTTTGGCTCAGGTATTCCATGAATCCCAGGCACTTTGGCTGGCAGACAATCCCATGACCTTTAATAGGGGAAAAAAAAGAGAGAGAGAAAGGGGAGAAATTTCTTTTACAGGAAGAAAACCACTTTAAATGGCTCCTTGTCCTCCCAGCAGCTCTTGGTTACCAGCAGCATCAAAGCCTGCCTTTAGCTGGGGAAGGATTGCTCCTGGGAAATGCTATAAGATCTCTGGATTTGGCTTGGGCCATCTCTGCGCCAGGAGGAGAGGCTGGGACTTCCAGCACAGAATCCCTTCATGGGCAGCTGATGAAGGCTGCTGGGTTTGGATGGGGTGTTGTTGTTGGCTGGATGCTGCCAGGCATCACTGCGGTCCCCAGGATGGGTTTGCTGCTGAGCATCCCTTGCTGCCGGTGAAAGCCAGGGGCTGTGCTGAGCCCAACCCAGGGAAGGGAAGATCTTGTTATTTGTTGTTATTTTTTTAATCATAGAACTATTTAGGTTGGCAAAGACCTCTCAGATCATCAAGTCCAACCTTCACCCCAGCACTGCCCAGTCCACCACTAACCCATGTCCCTCAGTGCCACATCCACACGTCTGTCAAATACCCCCAGGGATGGTGACTCCACCACTTCCCTGGGCAGCCTGTCCCGATGCTCAGCACCCACTCTGTGACCCCTACAACAGCCAAGGGGTCAGGGATGGGTGCTATGGGGACCTGGGTGGGTGCTGCCTGTGGCTTTTGCATTCACATATGGGTTTTGTCAAATTAACCACTTGGAGCTGGGCAGTTCCCGTGCAGGGGGTTTATGACCTAAACACAGGTATTAAGCTGCAAGTGAGAGAAGGGGATGTTATACTCCATGCCTGGCAGTGTTCAAGGCCGTGTTGGACAGAGCCTTGGGCAACATGGTCTAACGTGAAGTGCTCCTGACCATGGCATGGGATTGGAACTGGATGATCTTAAGGTCCTTTCCAACCCAAACCATTCTATGATTCTATTCTCATCTTGCTGGTAGGCAAATACAGTAGAAGAAGGTGAAAGTGTTGGATGCACCAGGGAATTTACTGATGCTGCTGTACGAAAACCACAATAACCATAACATCCACACACAAGCGATGCACTTTCCTGCCATCTTGACGCTGGGACAGGACTAATCCTGTAAGCACAGGGAGCTGATCTTAGGCCTTATAAAAGCTGGCTACTGGTCTTAACCATTAAATAACAGCTCAGCTGGTGCTTTTCATGTGCCTTTGCAACCCCAGCAAACTGGGTACTGGTGTCTGCATCCCTGCAGAGGATGCAGAGCAGCACCAGGCACCAACAACACAGCCACAGAGCATCACCTGTATACATGGATTGGTGCCACCCGTGTATCATCTGGCTGACCCTTAGGACTTCTCAACATGCTTTTACCTCTGTATGTGTTAAAACTACCCAGGCAGGCAGCCAGAGCCACAGCCTGCTGAGGCAGGAGGGGGATTTCATCACGCATTCTGTGCATTATACTGGAAAGCCACAAAGGAAAAGGTTTTGCAAGAACAGGAGCAAGAACAGGCTGACCTCATGGGTAGTTTCTACACAAAGCTTTGGGGAGCTCGCGATTCCTCCCAGAGCTTCCAGTTTGCTTCCTATGACAAAGTGCAGGAGAAGAAGAGTCTGTGGGAAGAGGCTGGGCAAGAGACTGCACACCAGGGAGTTATGGGGGTTTCAGACCACCCCTAATCCTCCTTCCCTTCAGCAACACCATGAATCTGTGTGCTCTGAGCCCAGAGCTGCTTACACTCTGCTGGTCCTTGTGCGGGTGATGAGGGACAGGGAGGGAACGGGACCACATCCCCATATAGCCCTGCACACTGTGATGTCCTGCCAGGTCAGTCCCTGCCGCAAGTGCCTTTAGGTGCAGAACTGGTGTTTTCTAGCTGAAGCTCAGATCTCACATGGCAAGCAGTTGATATTCACCTGCAGCAGGTGGGTGAGGACTCCCTGAGGGAATCCATGTGTAATTCCTCACCCGGTTGCACAAGGGAAAGGGATTTGGACACTCGCGCTATGTCTGGGTTGAGTAATACCTCTGGCAAGCAACAGAGGAGTTTGGGAAGTGTGTAATGGTGCCTCTCGTGCCATGAGAGCCTCAGGGGGCTGCATGAAGGGAGGGGTGGGTTGACCACCCGTGCAGGCATTGCCTGCTCCCCCCTGCCTGCCCCTGGGCTTTCCCGTGGGGCAGGAGCTGGGAGTGCTGGGTCGCATCCCGCAGATTCTGCCTCCTCCCTGCTTAGGGAGTCACCCTGTTGGAGGCAGCGGTGCGGCCCCTCGGTGTCCTCGAATGAAGGGTGAAGGCTGGGGAGGAGGGAGAGCACAGCTTCATCTTGTTTAGCAGCAGGCTTTAACAATCCCAGTGTTGAGGCTGCGGTCACAGAGCACGAGGGTGGAGGCAGAGGGTGGGAGCTGGAAGGCATCGAGGTTGGAGCTGGGGCAAGATAGGGAGGATGCGCCCCAAACAGCAGCCAGAAACCAGCACATCTGAGCCCAGCAGCTCCACCCAGGAGCTGGGAATGGGGCTGCTCATCACCCCAGAGCAGAGCCTCTCATGGGATGAGCAGTGTTTTGGGGCTACACGAGCCATCCCCATCCCTGGTGCATGTCCTGGCACCTCCATCCCTCTCCCCCCTCCCAAGCAGCAGGGAACCTGGGTGCTCCTGCAGCCAAGCCTCTGTGGTAGTGACAGTAACTGTTTTCACGGAGCATCGTAAATAAAGATGTGTTTGGCGAGCACACGAGAGGCAGAGCCAGGAGCTTCAGCACTGAGGTCACTTTTTCTGTTGTCCCAGCCCCAGTGTGTCCCAGCCCTGTGCTGGGAGGAACAGGGACAGAGGCAAGGAGCGCTGGTTGTGCATCCAGTTCCCACCAAACCAGGGAGAGGGGAGGAGAAGGGATCAGAGCTGAGGATGATGTTGTTCCACCTGCACGAGGGATACTGGTCCCCCACTCCAGAGAGACCATAGCAGATGGGTGGTTGAAGGGAAGAGCTTTCATCTAGGCCAGGTTGGACAGAGCCTTGGGTGACATGGTCCAGTGTGAGATGTCCCTGCCCATGGCAGGGGGTTGGAACTGGATGATCTTAAGGTCCTTTCCAACCCGAACAAGTCTGGGATTCTATGATTAGGAGCAGCCAAGCGAGCCATGAAGAGGAGGTGTGGCAGCAGACAAACCCAGGTCCCAGTCCTGCAGGGATGTATTAA